GCCCGGCCCGGCCCGGTCCCCCGCGGGGCTGGCTGCCCGCCGTTCCCCGCCGGCAACTTTTCGCAGAAAAAGTTTCCTGCTGTCGGGGAGATGCAGCCGCTGCTACTCCCACCAGCAGTGTGTTGTGGGGCTTGCTTTTTCTTATTTGGCTTTTAATTTTTTTTTTTTTTTTGGTTAATAGCTGTATTATTTATTTTTACTCGCTGCATTTCCTGGCGTTGCTTGCCCGTCAGCAGGTAGGGGAGTCAGGGCTGCGCAGCCCAGCCCCGCTCTGGCAGGGCCCTGGGGATGTGTTTCTCCGTAGCTCGGCCTGTTGAAGAAGGGGTTGCCCCGCGAAGTTTCTCGTTTTAAGTGGAGGCGGTATGAAGCTGAGACAATGGAAACAAAATTGAGTTTCCTTTTTTGTCCAGACCCTTCCTATCTAGCCGCCCGCTAGAAATAGTGCTTTCCTCTCTCCTTCCCTCACCCCTCAGTTTTGTTTCAGTGATGCATTTTCTTCAGGAGTCGCCTTTGCCTCGTTGCCAGCCAGGAATCTCCCTTCTGCTCCCGACTAACTCTGCCCGAGTAAGAGTGCTTTAGCGGTTGTCTCTCCCTGCCTGGAAGGAAAAGGTGACTTCCAGACTCTCTCTAAGGGGAAGAGCCTGGAATAAACACTTATTTATTCAGCTTAAAAGCATGACGCTTCTGCTTGTCCCGCATGCGTGTGTGTGTACGTTTACGGTGGAAGTCTTGCGTTCTATATGGTGTGACCACAATTTGAAAACTTCTGGGTGTATTTTCTCTTGCTGAGTTAAATGTGATCAGGCCTGTGTCCCGTGAAGTCTCGTGGCTTAGAGAGTCTAGTTTGACTTTTCATAACACAGACGGACAAATTGGATAATGGGGTATTGTATGCGCGTTACAGTATGGCAAATGCTAATGCAGGCAAAATGTGTACAATTAACTAAGCAGGTCCCTATATATGTAAAATGAAATATAACTACTCTTTTTTCTAGTAAACCCTGTGGAAAGGTAGAATGTTCTCTGGACAGAAGAACACAAATGAATGTCATGAAAAAGTAGTGTCGTATGAGTTGTGTTTCCTTGTTTTTGGCATGTGTCGTTTTGAAAATATGAGGCTGACTCCTGCTCTTACTGAAGTCAGCAACAACACTGCTGTTGATTTCAGGAACAGTAAAACTGGTCCTTCCCTAACCTCGCTAGGTGCATTATAGAATCATACTGTAAAGGATCAGCTACGTAGCAGGGGAGATAGAAGCAAACTTCTGTTTGAGTCTTGAAATGATTAAATACCAAATTTTCATTACATTTAGACATATACTGGGAAACTGATTTTTTTTTTAAGTGACTAATTCTAAACATCGCGGTCTGAACTTATTTTTATTTTTTTAATGTGTCGTTTGTTTGCATGCTGATCCTTGCAGTTATCTTTGTTGCAGGACAGAAAACTCCTGTTACTGGCTTCTGTGTTGGTGATTATTTTAATAGTTTCAAATATAGAAAGTACATATTTTCCGACAGAAATGTAAATTTCAAGTGATAGCCAGTCAAACCATTCTGGGTAACTTTCTCTTCAGTTTTTCTATCTACCATTGTTTTTTGGATGCTTGTTTCAACCAGGCAGAGTTAAAGGTGGCTGCGATCAGCAGCGGGATTTAAGAGGAGATGTTTAAATGGTAGTGTGATTGTACAAGTACAATTGATTATTTCTTCAGTGTGCCAGTCCGGCTCGCGGCACAGAGCGTAAGGTCGAGGCAGAGGAGCAAGCTCCGCACCATACTCCAACTTCGCTGTTAAGCTACTGTGTTGTTCTGAAAAGTAGCCAAGTATTGTGCTGCGAGGGTGTTGCAGAGTTTCATTAGGAGCCTGTGAACTGGAAGCGGTGGTGCTGGTGGATGTTTTTTGTATTTTTTTTTTTTTTTCTCCCTTCCTCTTCCAATACGGGGCAAGGGTATGTGCAGTAAATGCCACAGCAACTGGGATGGGCAACCATGGAAAGCTTCAGCGGAGGGAGTGAAGGCTAGTGCTTTGTTTATGCCTGAGCTGCTCAGTGCACGATCTCCCTATCTCACCTTATTAGAGAAGCACTTTAATAAGATTTAGGGAAACTTTGAGGAGGTGAAGTTATGGTTCATATTTAACTACTGGTAATCAATATAAACTTGCAGCAATATCTCGGTTCATATCAAGTACTTATCAGTATGTATGTGTGATTGTATATTGATATGTGTTTGCTTTGCAGCAAGTATGTGTGCTTACATACATTAACCCTTTCTCCGAGAGAGGAGAAATGTAATGCTAATAATCTGATCTTGCCAACACTTGGTCGTGTGCTTGCCTGGCTGATGGCAAGCAGACCTGGTAACTCTAACTGTTGTTGTGGCAAGGAAGTTAGTGTGTACGTAAGAGTCTAAAGCTGCAGAGGGCTGTCATCGCTGGGGTTTAGAAAATAAGATCTTGGGAGTCAGAGATGAGCATGAAGATTGGACCGTCAGTGTTTGCTACAACTTAGGGCACCAGCGTGCTCTCTGCATGAACCGATAGGCTTCGGGCTTGTGGCAGATTCCAGCCTGAGAGGGCCTGAGGGCTTTGACTCCGAGGTGGATTGGGAAGGGATGTCTGGTGTGGTAGTTGTGTTGGGACACTTTTTTTCATCCCAGCTGTTGGGATGTCTACGTTGGTAGTAAACCTGTTCCTCTGATCCTGAGCCATAGTAGTTAGCTGATTATATTATTGTAAATACTACCATGATGTTGGCACTTGTTGCAGAATTGGCAAGTGATCCTGACAGCTTCACCTCTCCTCCCCCAGATGGGAGAACTGAGGCACAGGGAGAGTGTAAACATCTTGGCAAAGGCTTACAGGAGAGCAAAAGCTCAAAGGGAGACAGGACTAGAAGTTCAGACACAGGTGATGATTTTTGTGGTTAATTAAGGTCCATGTGGTGATGAGTTCTGTTTAAAACCGCACCTGGAGCTTTCTGATTGTGAGGTTCTCCTTATTTTTTTCCTGAAATTATAATACCATGGGAATATCACTGTGGTGTCATATGGAGGCTCAAAATTCAACAGGCACATAGAAGGGTCCCAAAGGGCGCAGTTTAATTTGTTTATTTTCCTTTTTATAAATCTGGCACTTTCAGTTGCTTAGTCTGATTTACCATGCAACCATACAAACAATTGTGCTGGCACAAGTGGGGAGTTGCAGGGAAACTAGAACTGGGAATATGGAGGTGGGGATCAGCTGCTTCAGCTCTCCCAGACCAGGGCTTCCCCAAGTCCAGGCTCCCTTGCCTGCGCCTGGCTGATGCGTGAGCCGAGAGTGCTTTCTGTGGGCAGCACTGAAGGCACAGAGCCTTCCTGTCAGCCGGGTTTCACAACTGACTCCAGTGAAGATTTTATGCAACCATACGCTGGTGGATATGAGCGCTTTCTCTTGCAGTGAGCTATACGTGGTGCCCCTTGTTATTCCATGGGCACCGCAGGAGTCGCCACGGAACCCTGTAGCTCGAGGACTTGTCTCACTGGTGCTCATTCTGGATTCGAGGATGTACTTTGTAATCATTTAAAAAGAGTCAAAAAAGACTGATCATGTAAGCCGAAGGGCAGAGAATCAGCATAGTGTTTGAGCTTTCAATCTTGACTGTCTTCCCCAGACTTACTTAAAAATTAAGTAGTGCTTTATGTCTCCTAATACTTCATTGATGTTGTTTTTGCAAAGAGCTCTCTCGCACTGAAGGCTTCCCATGCTGAGGGACTGCTCAGCACCACGCAGACAGAATCCTGTTACCCTTAACCAAGGCCGATATCTGTTAGCGCAGAGTATGTTCCTTAATGTTTATTAGCAAACTTGTGTACTAGGAGGAGGATCCTTCTTCTGTTCGTGTCAATGACAAAACTCTCATTAAGTGCAGTGGGTGTAGGATTGAATGGGAGAAGACCAGTGTTTAGAAGTATGTACTATTTAACACCTGATTAATCACTTAACTCCTTGGCACCAGCTAAATTTAATCCCTCTGAAGCAAAATTTTACTAACACTGCCCCAATTAAATACTGGTCATTACTATTCACTGTGTCATTACAAGTTAAGTCAGTTTCCTGGGAGGCAACCCATTAAAACAGCAGCCCCAATCTGAAATGCCCCAATTAAACAGAGGATACTTTAATGATAATTTACATGCACATTGCACCTTGCATCTCAAAGTGCCTTTTGGAGGGAGGTGGCTAAGCAGCGCTCTGCTGATAGAAATGGTGATAAGCAGGAGATGAAGTCTTGTACAGTTACACAGAAGTGATGTTTCTGCCTTTTAAAAAAGTTATCTGAGTCCTTGAATGCTTGCCTTATGAAGGCTTCTGACAAAAGCTTTTCTAATAACCTGCTTACTGAGAGAAAAGAGAGCTAAGGCAACCTGTGTTTTTGGCCAGTAGTGTGGTTCTGACCTACAATCCAAAAACTGGCTAATTTTTTTTTTTTTTCTCTGCATGTGTTTCTTTTGGACTACTTGTAGTTCGGTGCCTTCAGGTGGGCATCCCCAGAGCAACAGCAATTCAAAAGCATGTGCTTCTGAAAATGTTATCTTTGGCCTTTGCTTTCCCTATCTGTGAAACAGGCATAAAATGATAATGAACTTACCTCTGCAGGGCAGTAGCGAGGCTTAGTATTTGTAATGCAGCATGGAAACAAGTTGTGTTTATTGCAGAAATCAGTGACAGAGTGATCTGATTTGTTCCTGGCTTTTTAGTTCACATGGTGTTTGGGGGGTGGCGGTGGTGGTTGTTTGGCTGTTGGCTTTTTTGGTAGGGGCCACCTACCTTTGATGAGCACTTAGAGTGTGCAAGATATTACGGCTTCACTGTGTCCCAATGGCTGGATCAGCCATGCGTGGGCAGGGTAGTGTTTCTGTGCCTACGGCCTGCATTGAGCTTGGCTTTGGGAGGGCTGGGCGCACGGTGCAGGCATAGCTGTTCTGCCGCAATCCTGCTCCTCCTGGCCCAGGGCAGGAGTGCCTGGGAGGGATGGCAGCCAGAGGTGGCTGCCAGAGCAATCCCCGCCACCTTCCCTTGACCACTGTCCTTCCCAGGGCTCCCTGAAGCCAAATGCAGAGCAGGCTGCATACTCGGTTGTCCCAGGTGTTACTTTTTCCTGGGGGTAGGAAGGCATCCCTCTGTTAGATCAGATACACCTTTGTCATCTACCAAGGGAGGTCCCACTAGCAAAGGCAGTGGCCGGTGGTCACCAGCTAGCATTGTCACAGCAACTAATTTTTTGGGCTGATGTGTCTCTGTGCTTCCTGAGGCAAAGAGGCCACCCAGAACAGCCCATGGGTGGGATGTTCCGCTAAGCGGTTGTGAAGAAGCCAAGCCAACCCCAGGTATGTGCTCAGGTCCAGCCTGAGCAAGGAGACCAGAAAGGCCGCCAAAACTCCTGTGCCTTTAACAGCAGAGTTGTGGCAATTGATTCCTGTAATTGTGCGTTATTTTTCTAGGTCTACAACCCAAGCCAAATTTAGACCCTGTTGGTTCTGGTGTTGCTGAGTTGTCTTTAGGCAGTATTTTGTTGGAGC